AAAAAAATTCTAAAAAAATTAGTAATGATTAGAGCTTTTTTTTCATTAATAGTTTATAATTAATATGTACCTGAGATGTTTTCAATATTTCAATTGCTTATAGAAAATGCATTTCAGTAATGTGTATTAATATTGGTTTAATTTACTTAATATTTGAATCAGCAGAAGAAGAAGAAAAAATTTCACACTAAATTGTTAGAAATAAATTTTCCGTAAAAAAAAAAAAAAAAAAAAAAAAAAAAAAAAAAAAAAAAAACAAATTCTAAATTTTCAGTCAAATTAGTTTCTTTATCTGAATCTTTATTTAGTAGCAAATGACATAGTAGTCTTTCGACTTTCAAATAGTACAGAAAAAATCATATGATGCATTTTGTATACGGAATGAAAATTAAATTTTTTTATTTAGTGCAATAAATATTTCTTAGAAACACGTTCTCAAAAAAAGAAAAGGTTTGGAGCACAAAATAAAAAAAGAAAATTGCAACGAGAGGAAGCTAACCAGAAACTCGCAGGATTTCTAAATAAACGATAGGATTAGAAACACAATAGGAATTAGACCAGTTGTGTAGCTGGGGGGGGGAGCAAGGGAGCACATCCGTCCCCGGGCGCAGCATCCAGGGGGCGGCCAAATTGATGATACACATTTCAGAATGAAATGTTTTCCATTCTTGGAACACAGAAAGGGCTCAAAATCTTTAGGTGTTCCCGGGCGCATAATTCACAAGTGCACATCAGAGTAGCCACGGAGGGAGGGGTTTCGAAAATGGACCAATCAGCTTCTACTGCTCTTGTGACGGTGAGTGTTGTAATGAATCTAGTATTTTCTTATTTTAGTGCTTGTATTCTTTTGATTTTGAAAGTGTGTAAGATTCAAAATATATAATCTGTATGACCTGAGTTATATCTATTGTAACATTAAAAATTATATATAAATAAATTAAATATATTCTTTGTAAGTGAACAGTTATTAAAAGTGAAATTTAACATACCAAATGAATATTCATGGCAAATTTAATATGACAGTAGTATCGCAATTTTTACCTTAGTAATCTGAAAGTCAGTTACACTGTAGTTTTCAGTCTAGGCAGCATAATTTTTACGATGCATGTATGTAAATATATATATAACGTGTATCGTTTTAAAAGGTAGTTTAATGTTAAATTAAAATAATTTAATAGAAATTAATACAGAAGAACTTTATTTACAGAAGTAAAGTTTTAAATAAACAGTATGCAACTGTAGCAGCACGAATGAAATTCCTAAAACGCATTGAGAAACCATATTTGGATCTATGGATATGTATTTCAAGTTCTTTTTCAGTTTGAAATAGTATTCGCAACATCAAACTAATTCTGATGAACCATGAGTAACTTTAATTAAAATAAAATTATATTTGCAAAATGTTCGTACCTTTTAGAACAGCTATAATTCTGCTTAAATATTAGTAACATTTTAAATTTGCAATTATTTTTCGTTTACTTGTTGCATAGTTTTTCTCTTTGCAAAATAACAGCATTCATAATATTTTAAGTAGTATATTTAAGCCTGAACAAGTAAATGAATCTGGATTAAATGCTATTTCTTATCGCAGATGCAAAATATAGATATAATAATAATAATAATAATAATATGCAATTGCATAATTTTATTCAGAGTTTTCAAATTATTCTCAATAAATTTATGCAATTTTATTTAAAAATTGTAACACAATTTTTATTCCAAATGTATAGAAATGCATGTTTTTAAATCTGAACTGAATGTAGTAACTGAAACAAACTTTAAATAATAATTAGAGTTACCATTTTGCAGTCAATTACCCCTAAATACAAAATGTTATGTAACTGTTATAGAACTTATAAATTTAAGTACATACCTTTACTTTACGATATGAAGAATGCTGACAAATGTAGTTCCTTGAAAACAGAAACCGAGATGGATCAGTCGAAGGTTTGCGGAGTATCAAACATGTGTTTGTATTTCTTTAAATTTCTTTCAACCAGGTAGCGAAATCTTCACAATTGCTTATATTTCATCTAACTCCGCAATGAAAATTTTCAGAAGAAATCGACTATGCTTTAGCTATTTTTCACAGGAAATTGCGTGATAAAATGTTTTTACCTACCTTGCTTAAAGCACACCAAAGGTGATCTGACATGATAGATATATTACTGGAAGCCCATTGGTCCATCCTAGAAGCCACTCTCTCGGTGGCTACACAGATGTGCACTTGTGAAATATGCTCCCCGGGCACTTAAAACCTTCGTTACGCCTATGGATTAGACGGACAAACAATTGAACTAGGACCGTCAACATCAACATCTGGTTTGGAATTTCATAATGAAAATTTATCTCAAAATGTAAATTCATCAGAATATGTCCAAGAAGAAGCCACGATTTGTACCAATAGAAAACTTAGATGATGAAGTAAAAATTTCGTCGGGTAATAACGTAATATCTCAAAACGAAAATTTTGACTTTGAATTAAACGATCCAGCTACCTGGCCTAATACAATTTTTATAACAATTAGAGATTATTTAATTGAAAAATAGTCCTCCCCGCTTGATAACCAAACATTTTCCGAAAGATAATTCTGGCAGAAAGTTTTCAGTTTCGTTCTATTATAGAACATTTCCAAATGGAGAAAAAGTATTTAGAAATTATTTAGTATATTCAAATTCCCGAAAAGCATTTTTTTGCTTCCCATGTAAACTATTCAGTGAGAAGCATTCACAGCTTATTAAGGATGGATGTAATGATTGGGCACATTTAACCCACATTTGGAATATACATGAAAACAGTCTCCTTAAACATAGTTCAAAATGCAGTGAACTCAAAATGTTTTTGCGTAATTTATGTACTATTGATGCAGCTCAACAAAGACTTATGATGCAGAAAAGGTGTACTGGCAATCGGTTATTGAATGGCTTATTTATTTAATTCAATATTTAGCCCGGCAATGCCTTGCATTTAGAGGTTCTTCGAAAGAGTTGTATCATAGTGATCGATAATGGAAATTTTTTTAAGTTGGTTGAAACCATAGCAAAATTTGATCCAATAATTGTTGAACATCTCTACAAAATTCAAACATCTCAAAAGAACATTGCTCATTACTTAGGGGATCAAATTCAGAATAAACTTATAAGCATTATTTCAGAAGGAATTAAAAAGCATTTATTACATATGATTAAATCGTCAAAATATTACTTACTAGTTCTGGATACTACACCTGATGTCAGTCATACCGAACAGTTGACTGTTGTAATTCGATTTGTTTATAAGAACGAGGAAACCAATAAAGCCCAAATTGAAGAACTTTTTTTAGGATTTCAATCTGTCGACCTCACTATTGGACAAGGTCTGTTTGAATTCATAAATGGATATCTAAAATCGTTAGAACTAAATTTATCAGATTTACAAGACCAATCTTATGATAATAGTGCTAATATGAGAAGAAAGCACAAAGGATTGCAACAAAAAATTATTGAAAATAATTCGAGGGCACTCTATATCCCCTGCTCTGCCATTCTCTAAATTTAGTTGTAAAGGATGCAGTTAAAATTTCCTTCGAAACAGTTAATTTCTTCGGAGTAATGCTTTACAACTACTTTTCCTCATCCGTTAAACGTTGGTTTATTTTGCAACAGTATGTTGAATATATTTCTTTAAAGCCACTCTCCAACACCAGATCTTTGCCGCAATTTTTATCACCAAGTTGCCGACATTTAGTGATCCATCACCAGTTTGACGACAATTTAGTATTTTTTGGAAAATGCGTTTTCGGAGCTTTAGGAATAATTATTCTTGAAGCTTTCACCAGTGCTTGAGCAACTGTATAAATATCAGCTGCGTTGAAGCTGCGAGTGAGTTAGTTCAATACATAATTTCTTGTTTGGGGATTACTGCTCTAGACTGTCTGTGAGTACTTTGGGTAACCCCCGATATTTCTGGCATGTTAAGGAGAATTTGCGTTATATCACTTTGGACTGTTTACAGCTATTTACCTTGCTTCATGAGCATTCATTCATTCACTTCAATAAAGTTTGAATTTCTTTCTCTTCATAAGACATAGTTATAAAGGAGACGAACTCTATCACACTATTCTAGCACTTCATTTAGCACTTTACGAACTATAGCACACACCAATGCGTAAAGTATTATTTTCGGTTCGTATCTAATACTTCGAATAATTTACTTTTAGATTTTTAATACTTGACTGTTTTGAACCTGTTTGAGAGGTTATTGATTATCGACCTGAAAAGTATGTATCTAATAACAAAATTGAATTCTCAGAGAAATTCAATACTTATTTATATGTATAAAAAGAAACAAAAAATAAATTCGGATGGGCAATGTAGTGTGTGTAGTAGATAACGTTTTACAGTAAACTGTGTGCTCTATTTAAACAAAAATATTTGGTTACTTCAGTTTGTATTGAAGTTTATAAGGAACAATGGTTCAAAATTTTTCGTTTAAAGCTCTTTACCATTTTCTTACTTCTATTGCAGATGACTATGCGCTAAAATCAGATGAGATTGTGTTGACTAAATGATTTAATCACTATTAAGATGATAATAAGATAACGCCAAACAAATCTGAATCAGTGTGAAATCAGCATTGATGCGAAATCAGAAAACATGTTCATTTTTATGCCTTTGCAATTTATTATACATTTTTAGAAATAACTATAATAAACTGAGTTTTTAATCTTTCTAAGGAACGCATCCCTTGCTCATCGATATATTGCAATTTATGTAATTTTGTTCCACGTGTCACATTTGCAATGGATTCGGTTTGCTGCTTTACATTGTACATACTTCCTAGTTGGATTGAGGCATGTTATTTAAAATGGATTTTGAACCGATGTTTCATTCCTGGAAGCGAAATTGGTTAATCATGGAAAACCAACTGCTCTAGAACTTTATACTTAGTATCATCATGTTTGCTTAGAGTTAATATCAAAACAGAAAGCAGAATTTGTATCTAAATATCAATGACTTACTCGAAATTTGAAGATTTCGTTCCATATCGGATTCAAAGAATTCCTTTGCACCAGTTTAGTTTTCTGGCGGTTGCAGTCAATTGGAATGCCAATGATTTCGATTTCTACCACTGGACTCCCAGTGAAAGTTGATGGGCACACGTACTGACCTGATATAACCTGAAAGTATTAATGAAAATTTTCTGTACGTTTAATCTTATGTACGTTAGTGAAGCTAAACGAAAATTACAGGCATTTGTTAATGATTCTTCACGCGCAAAGTTTGCCAATTTTTCTGTTATATCTATGACTTAGTAACTATTCCTACGCATCTGTTTTAACTTATGAAATCAGTATATTTCATATATTACTTATAAACTACAATAAAACCATGATATTTTATTTTCATTTGGCATTGAAATTTGTTTTAGATATGAAAAAAGTGACCATATAAGTAAATACTTTAGGCATTTTGTGAAACTAATTACATTTACAAAATCTTAAACGCTGCTCTAGAGCTCCGTATCATTTAATTTACAACAATAAAAATTCTTCAAAAAAATTATCTTCTTTCTTTAAACAGAAAACACGTCTATTTATAGTACTGATTTCCTTCTCAATTTGATTCATATATGAAATAAGAATCCTCAAATCCTTCTTACTAGATTATTTAGGCTATGGGATTGTACGCGAGAGCTATCTGCCTAAGGGGAGGAATGTTTTCATGTAAGACTTTGTAAAGGACACTTATTCGTATTCATATTGTTCATGAGGAACAGCTCTTAAACGTTATGCCTGTTATACGATCCATTTAAATAATTTTAAACTATTCTCACATGTCTTATGTATCGTTTTTCTCTAATTTCGAATTTATACTTTTCGGTACTCATAAAAAGGAGTGCTTAAATTTGCACTTAAGTACTGTAACGTCTTAAGCTATTTTATCGACCACCACGAAGTTCTGAGAAAAAGAATGACCACCTCGAAAGTTCCCAAGGACAGAGTATTTCTTAGCGAATTCATGGAAATAGGAAGTGACCAGCCGTCACAAAACAATCTCAGCTTTTTTTGTTCCTCTTATTCGAAAGGAGACATTTGTTCAATTCCCTTTCATCAGTTTATAGGTTCAGTGTCTTAGACCACCCGGTTTGAGACACCCAGGTGGAATCGAAAAGTTCCCACGGACTTTGTCCCAGGCTGTCTTTATCATATCCAGTTTTTAATCAAGTGCTCGCCAATCAAGAGGCGCTTCTAAAATTTACGACAAATTAGGATCCTAGAAGTTTTTCCGACACGCCCAGGACAACTTGAACAAAATCATGGAACACAGTTCCAGAGAGAAGCAGCTTTCCTGATACGACGTACATATGTATATAATCTATATTTAACCTAGCATATTGTTTTTCAACTATTTATTCTGCACTTTATTTTATATTTTTCTTGTATTCTATATATGTTACTTTTTGACGATTCCGAGTATGGACGCGGACGAGGACGGTCGCTCGCTTTGCGAGCTCCCGCCGACACAGCCTTCAACTATGTAATTCTGATTCTTCACAGCAAAATGTGCAAATACCAACTTGGATACTTCGCCTGTGCAATTGTGTACTACAGTGAGCAATTCGCAATCAGAGCAAATCACCCTGCACCGGATGATGAACGGGGAATACTTGTCAACCAGTTTTACGAACTCAAACATCAGTTCGAATCAATTCAGAAGCAGAAAAACTTCATGAGACGAACACCGACTCCTGTGGATACTGCCAGCTACAATCAGCTGACAATGCTGGTTAAAGTACTTTTCATAAGATCAACGAGATAGCGAACGTAGTAGAAGTTCCTATCTTTCACTTGCCTCCGACCAGAGATGAATTTCTAAAAATCATCGAGACTGAGCGGTTAGCCAAAATGACAGCTACAGCCGTTGAAAATCCTCTTCCTCCCCAAACGGAGGCGAAAACGACCCACGAGATCCGAGGAAAACCTGTTTCTGCCCGTAAGCGCAAGACGCAAACAGTTGGACTCTGAGGGGTTTATCACTCCCGCCACTAGAAAAATGGGAAAAACCTTCCATAATTGATTTAACTTTGGATAATAACAGTAATCATACTACTATTCAAAATTCAAATACTTCTATTTCAAATTCACACTCAGCTAGTACTAATATTGCTAGAAAAAACAGTAAAAACAAGCATGAAGCTATTAAAGAATGGCTCATCAACAGCGGTGACCCCATCAAGGAGCAAACCTCCGAGAGAAGTTCCGAGGGAGAAACCAGTTCTGAGCAGGCACGGAGCGTTCCCCCCCCCTCCACCACAGCCTCACAATCAGATCCCGGCTATACATATGAGGTGTAGCAAAAACTGGAAGACCCAGGTGTCTTTCTTAAGAGAAATTGCCACAAACCTTAAGAGTACTCTCACTGGACCATATTTAAAAATTTTTGTACAGACTGAACTGGAGTTCAGGGAGGTCACACTTTGGATGAAGCAAGCCGGCATCCAATTCAAAACTTTTGATTTTAAACAGGACCGGCCAGTCAAAATTGTAGTCAGAGGCCTCCCTGTGGAAACTGATGTCGAGGACGTCAAAGAGGAAATCGAGTCACTGGGATTTAAAGTGCATCGCTGCGTTCGGCTTTACCAGCCCGGCTCCAGACATCCTATGCCACTTGTTTATGTACAAGTCATCCCACACCCTTTCATCGACCAACTGTTTACCGTCACTGACATGTGGGGCACAGAGGTCAGCATTGAGCGTTATCGCGGCCGAAAGCGCCCTACTCAATGCTTTAGGTGCCAGGGATTTTTCCATTCTTCGGAACTCTGCACTTTGCCAATCCATTGTGTGAGATGCTCTGGACCCCACTGGGCACGTGAGTGCACCAAGGGGCTTGATGTACCTGCAACTTGCTGCAACTGTGGTGGAAGTCATTCCAGCCTCATATAATCTTGTCCTCGACACCCAGCTAATAAGCGGTCTCGTGGAAAGAAAACACGCTTAAAAATAGGGCAGCTGCTCAGACAGCCTCCCCCTCAGGGTCTCCTAAGCTCAAGCACAAGCTACTAAAGCACGTCCCATGCCTGCTCCCCCTAACGACGTCAACTCACCGTCGTATGCAACGGCGGTGAAGAACGCCACCGGGCACGGATTCAGAGCTCAGAATCCGAGACTGCGGCCGCAGAAAAAACCTGTAGCCCAGCAGTATTAACCTCTGCAGAGTGTGCAAATGATTCCGAAGATGTCTTCGCATCCACACTAAAATGCTTGATTGAAATCTCCCGTGACCCTACGGTAGACAAGCATATTCTGCTCCAAGCCTTCAAACGAGCTATGCCAAAGCTTAGGCAGGCAGACGCTCTGATGAGGGCCTTTTACTTATAAATGAAAGCTATATCGAGCTTTCAATTAATTTCGACCTTCATTAGACCCATGTCTTCTGTTTTTCAGCCAGGAAATCTTTTTAAACGGCCTAACATTCAATTGTGTCAGAAATAGTTCAATTACCAACTCAGAACCAACCATTGGCTCCTGGAATGCTAATGGACTTCGAAATAAGATCCACGAAGTAAGAGACTTTGTGGTAGAGCACGATCTTGACGTATTTTAGTCCACTTTAAATCGGGGAATACTCTCAAAATTGGGAATTATGACATTTACTCGACGGGCAGGGTGTCACAAGGCAGAACTCCGAGTGGTGGCACTTGTATCTATGTGAAACATTCGATCAAACATCACATGATACCGTCCCCTGATTTAAATATTTTGGAAGCTACTAGGATCCAAATTTTCCTTCAAAATTCTCCCCCACTGACAATTGTTTCAGCTTATTTACCTCCACAATCAACTGCACGTGGAAGGTTCCCTGTCAGTGATTTTGACAACCGTTTAAATATTTCAAATCACCTAATCATTGCTGGTTATCTAAATTCACGTCATACCGCTTGGTTTTGCCCTAACAAGAACAGGTATGGCATTAGTCTAAATTCATGGTGCCAGAGTAACCATGTGCATATCATTGCTCCTACCCTCCCGACTTACTACCCTGTAAGAGGGTCCCCTGCAGTACTTTGATCTGGCTGCTTTCTATAATATTTTCTTTAGGCAGGAAATCAAAGTGATACAACACTTTGATCACTACCCTATTTTGATAATCTTAGATAATCAAAATCTTTACTCTAAATTACAGGAGCGGTATCCGCGTCCAATTCGCAAGATACAAAACGAGATAAGGACTGAAACCCGCTTATTAAAACAAGCGGAGTGGAAAAATCACATTGAGACCTTAACGACCGAAAACAAATCGATTTGGCGTGCAGCCGCCCGACTACGCAAACGTTACAAGCTCATTCCGCCCTTTGAAACGACCGATGGCGCACAGATGGCCTATACAGATTCAGAAAAGGCCGAAGCTATTGCTGACAGCCTTGCTACTCAATTCACACCCAACAACGACTCCTACTGTAACCGCCCGGTTACACAGGGGTGCATCCATTCACGGGTTGAAGACTTTTTATCACACCCTTTCACGCCTGAACTCAGGCCAACTGATCCAACTGAAGTCATGGTTTATATTGACAAAATTAAACCTGACAAGGCTCCCGGCATAGATTCTATTTCGAACCGCATGATCAAAAACTTCCCCGTAATGTTTATTGTCTGGATTACGGTCCTTATTAATTTAATGCTCAGGAGAAGCTATTTTCCCGACTGTTGGAAAACTGCAGCAGTCGTCCCCATTCCAAAACCGGGGCAAAATTTAAATTTACCCGTCAATTACAGACCAATTAGTCTGCTTTCATCTCTCTCAAAGATCTACGAGTATGTCTTGCTTAATCGCCTGAATGAATTCTGTCGAGAATCAAATTTGATCATCCCGGAACAATTCGGCTTCCGACCTAAACACTCCACTGTACACCAGTTATTACGTGTAGTGGAATTCATTCATGAAAGGCTTTCGCAAGCGAGAGAAAAACTGGTATCGTCTATCTGACGTAGCCAAAGCCTTTGATAGGGTTTGGCATGACGGACTTATCTTACAAGCTCATGCGGCTTAGGTTTTCTCGGCTCATTTCATTAAAATTATTTATTTCGTACTTGACCGGACGAAATTTCCGTGCCTGCGAATTAACCTTGAATTCTCCACTCCCCGCCCGAATCTATGCCGGATGTCCTCAGTG